GCGCGCCATGCACCACTACACCGGCACCGCCGCCGCCCCGGCCCCCGGCGCCCCCTCGGAACCCATGGAGATGGGCCACGGCGACGAGGACGACCAGGGCCACGGCCGGCGCCGCGGCCGCGCCGGCGTCCCCGACGACCAGGACGCCGAGGCCCAGGAGGCGCCCCTCATGGCCCCGGCCACGCACGCCTCGTCGCAGCCCGGCGGCGGCGGTGGCTCCTCCGCGCCCACGTCGTACGCCCACCGCGACATCAAGCCCGGCAACATCATGATCACCGACTCGGGCAACGCGCCCATCCTCATGGACCTCGGCTCCCTCGCCGCGAGCCCGCTGCCCATCACGTCGCCGTCCCTGGCCCTGCAGACCCAGGACACGGCCGCCGAGCACTCGACCATGCCCTACCGCGCCCCCGAGCTCTTCGACGTCCAGACCGGCGCCGTCATCGACACAAAGGTCGACATCTGGTCCATGGGCTGCACCCTCTACGCCTGCCTCGTCGGCAAGTCCCCCTTTGAGGCCCGCTCCGACGAGACGGGCGGCAGCCTGTCGCTGTGCGTCCTCAACGGCGACTGGCGCTTTCCCGACGAGGGCGTCCGCCGCACCGCCACCGGCGGCATGAAGGCCCAGGCGGCTGCTGCTGCTGCTGCTGCTGCTGCTGGCGGTGAGGCCGCCGCTGGCGCTGGCGCTGGCAGTGGCCATGTCGTCATTAGCGAGTCCATACGCGACGTCGTGAGGAGGTGTCTGACCGTCGAGCCCGCCGAGAGGCCTGACATTGACGAGCTCATCGCCATGGTGGAGAAGGTCATTGACGAGTTGCCCGGAGACGGCGAGGCGTAGAGCACGTCACGTGTTTCTCACTGTCTCTTCTTTTTCTCTGTCTCTTGTCTCTTCACATTGCCGTCTGTAGCCTTTTTGTCCGTAGTGTTGGGGATGGATGACCTCCCCTGTCTGGCACACACTCCGGAAACCCCCCACTGTAACACCATCGTGTCATCGCTGGCCCTTGCCATCTAGGTACGGGCTGATGAACGCGCACTCCGACCGAGCAGCGTAGAACTACCCTGGTTGCCGACGATGAAGAAGAAACCCCCATGTTCGTCGTCACGTCACGAGATATGAAGCACTTTTGCGAAAATCTAAAAAAAAAGGAATCTCTTCAGGTTCATGCTTCGTTCCGTTTCCCCTCATAATCATACAGTAGGCTTTGCTTTCGCATCGTGATAGTCCTCCAAATCAACGGGCAACTCAGGCAGAGTACGAGGGAACCAAGGTAGCTAGGCAATGTTTTCGAGACCGTGGTTCATAGGTGTCCATCCCGGCATACCCACTGACCCCAAGATAACTCACACACCTCCAGCCGTGTCAGGCTCATCGCAGCCACACATGTCATCCTCCTAGAGCTCGAGACGGAACGATGCCACCTCAAACGACCGCAGCTCAATGTCAATCTCCGAATTGTTGCGCACCTCGACCTCCTCCAAGTCGTCTTCCAGCAGGTTGCACTTGAAGGCGCGCTTGATGTCCCAGGTCGACTTGATGGTGCCGCGGCCGCGTCCGCCCATCGAGTCGTAGACGCGCAGCACGACGCTCCTGCCCTTGCGCTTCTGCAGGTGGCCGCCGACATCCTGGTCACCGTGGGCCAGGTCCTCATCGTCCTCGCCACGCTTGACCGTGTCGAGCACGAGGCTTGCGTCGCCCGACAGCTTGATGGGGCTCGATGTCATCGCAGCCGTGACGGCGGGGGCGGACACCACAGCCAGTCTGTTGTTGAAGGCGTGGGCGGCCCGGATGGTCGTGGGCCCAAGCTCGCCCTCGTGCGGCAGCAGCGCCCAGCGGATGGTGTGCTTGCCCATATCGGCATGCTCATCGGGGGCCTTGGCCGAGCGAAGGAGGGACAGGCGCATGGTGCTACCGCAGGTGGCGAAGCCGTATTTGCTGTCGTTGATGACAGAAACGCCATAGCCGTATTCCGAGAGATCGGCAAAACGGTGGCAGCAGACTTCAAATTTGGCCATGTCCCAGCTCGTGTTGTAGTGCGTCGGGCGCTTCACGATACCGTACGCTGTTTCGTAGGATGCCTCCGTGTTGCGAACGTTCACAGGGAACTCGACCTTGAGGAACTTCATAGTCTCATGCCAGTCGACCTCGGCCTGGAACTCAATCGCCGACGGCACACCCTTGAGTGCGGCAGAAAGGAAGATGGTCGACTTGAGGGAGCTGTTCTCGCTGATTTTCGTCGTCGTCGTGAGACCGACGCGATGGGCCTTTTGTTCTGTGATGCTCGTCTCGCCGCAGGGCAGCTCCTGGCGCGTGTCGAGGTGGAAAACCTCGACATCCCAAGCCTGCCAGTACAGGGGCTTGTCATCAAAAATGACATACTGGTTGGCCTTGCCGCCCTTCTCAACAACCTCGCGATTGGCGACACGGTCGTAGATGGAGACGATACAGCCATGCTCGACGCGAATGCGGAGGTGGTCATTTTGTAGAACAAAAACATCCTTGTCAACCTGCTCAATCGTGACTGCCGGTTCGTCGCCGCTCTTGAAGGCGCGAAGTGCGAGCATCTGGCCATCGCCACAGGCGACGCCAACCTCTGTGTCTGATATCTCAACAAGCTCCTTGCGGTGCCAGGGCAGCGTGTTGATGGCGACCGACTGTGCGAGGGGCGCCTTGGCATCGGAAACGCCCAGGACCTTGTGCACATCCTTGAGCAACTGCTCGTTGAGTTCAAAGACACGCGCGTACATCTGAGGCTTGCTGTTAGAAAAAGTAACAACGCATGAGAGGCAGAAAAAACATACCTTGTCGGAGTCATCGTAGCACATCTCAATTGAGCTGCCGGGAAGACAGTCATGGAACTGACAGAGGAGAATGGCCTCCCACATCTCATCAATGGCAGCCTTGGGGTACTTGTATGAGCTGTCCTTGAGGGATGCAATCGTGGCGAGCCACTCAATATTGCGCATGATGACTTCAGACTTGCGGTTCTTCGCCTTGTTGTTGGCCTGTGTGGTATAGGTACCGCGGTGGAGTTCAAAGTACAGTTCTCCGTACCATGTGACGAACGAGGTGGCCTTCTTCTGCAGCCTGTCGAAGAAGTCCTCGACGCTGTTGCCCATGTGCACCCTAGGCAGCATGCCAACCTGGTCAGCCATGCCGCGGCAGCGACGAAGCTTCTCGAGCTGGGTCCAGGTCGGACCACCACCGCCATCTCCCTTGCCAAAGACGAGCAGCGAGGTGTGGTCCTGGTCCATGGACTTGTGCTGCGAGACACTGCGCTTCACGTCGCCCAAGTGAGCCTCGGCGGTGTATGTCTCGGCCGGAGGCATGTGGCAGATGACCTGGCTCCCGTCCAGGGCGACCCAGTTGAAGGTTGTGTGCGGGAACTTGTTGATGTTGTTCCAGCTCAGCTTCTGGGTGAGGAAGCGCTCCATGCCGGCGAGGCGGCAGAGCTGGGGAAGCTGTGCTGAGTAGCCAAAGGTGTCGGGGAGCCAGAACGTCTGGCAGCGCTCACCAAAGTTGTTCTCGAAGAAGCGTTGGCCGTAGAGGAACTGGCGAACGAGAGATTCTCCGCTGGGCATGTTGGTGTCGTGCTCGACCCAGCTGCCGCCGATGGGCTGGAACTGGCCGGACTTGACCTTGCTCTTGACACGGTCCCAGGCGTAGGGGTAGAGAGTCTTGAGCCACTTGTACTGCTGAGCCTGGGAGCAGGCAAAGTTCAGCTCGGGATACTGGTCCATGAGCGTGCACTGGTTGGACCAGGAGCGGGCGACCTTGCGCTTGGTCTCGTCCCAGGGCCAGAGCCAGCAGCTGTCAATGTGGCAGTGGCCGATGCCGTAGACCTGAATGTCCTTGTCGGAGCTGTAGACCTCGTGCGAGTCGACCTTGTCGCCGAGGTACTGGCGCGCAATCTCACGGCACTTTTTGAGCGTGTCCCTGTTCTTCGGGCCCTTGTCAAAGGTGTCTATGATGGCATTGGCAACGTTGAGTGCCCTGTGCTGTTCCCAGCTCTCTTCGGGAAACTCGCGGGCTGCATCGCCAATGATCCAGATGTCAATGTGCAGCATACGAGCGTCGAGGTTGACAGCGACAATCTCGGCTTTTTTCAGGACAAACTGCTTGTCGGGGTTGGGGGGCTGAATTGTGTCGCCGCGGGGGTTGCCAAACATGCCATTGCAAGCCATCTCGACGTAGATTATGTGTTCCTTGCCGTCGCGGAACGAATCGGGAATGATCCACTCGATACGCTCACCATCACCCGTCAGGCCTTGCTGGATGTTGCCGTCCTTGTCGTAAACGGCGCCCTCGTTGGACCCATCCCAGTGCAGCTCAAGCCGCTCCTTGTCAAGCATGTCCTCGGGCACGGTGAGCTGGACCTTGAACCAGTGTGTCGACCACGAAGGCCCAAAAGACTCGCCGACTTTGGTCTTGGTGAACTTGTTCTTGACAGCCTCCCGCCAAGGGGTGCGCTCGAGGTCGGGGGCGGCCCATGTCGAGAGCTTGACGCTGGGCTCACCAGAGGCGACGGCCTCGTTCATGAGTGACAAGAGGTTCTGCTTTTCATACTGACCGGTGGAGTAGAAGACCTTAATTCTGTCCTTGTAGATCTTGGATATGTGCTGGCCGACGGGGCGCTGGGCGAGGGTGGGGTAAGAGCTCTTGCTCTTGACCTGACGTCCGCCACCCATAGTGATGTGATCAGATTCGGGGGGTGCGGAGCGATTGTTGATGTTTCGATGACGATGAAGAGCACCGACGGATAGGCTGCCGATGGTTGGCAACGAGGCGGCAGAGGTGGTCTTGTTATCGTTGGACTGTGTTGTGCTTTGCGGGGTCAGACCTCTGGTCTCGTCGGGGACTTTGGCGCTGAAAACAGAAGAGAAGCGTCAGTTCAGAACTACTGGGAATTAGTCTGGCAGGAAGTGATCGGAGATGGATTGAGAGTGATGGATTGCGGAGATAGGTTCAGGGTCGAGTTCAAGTGAGTCGACGAAGCCAAAGCCACCCCCGATCAGACTCGAAGCTCTAAACGGCAACGGCCCACTCCACCGCTTCAGAGCTCCTGAGCTCCTGAGCTCCTGAGGGGCCTCGTCCACGCCCCTGCGTCACCTGTGCTGATCAGAGCAGTACCACTACCCCTCACCTCGTCGCCAGAGCGCTACACGGCAGGGTACCGGTACGGCTCTTGGGCGGATAAGGGAGGATTGCAGAGGGGCGGTGGGGCCAGTAGGGGGGGCTCAGAGTGCGGGGGAGAGAGAGAGACGTGGTTGGTGTGGAGACGCTCGCATCCTCGGAGGCAAGCGGCAGCTTCGTGATGCTCCGCCGAGTGTGTTGGCATGGCAGATGGGCAAAGACGAACAACATACCTCATGATGAACTGCTTTTGAAGATATCTCCAAGAATGCGCCGGAATGCGCCAGAATGCGCCAGCATGCGCCTACCTTGTTTGGCGTTGAATGGAAACCTGACAAGTATCCCAGCCTTGTCGCCGGCCTTGGGAGAAGCGTTGACCGGGCGGGGATCCAAATGTAGTGGGTTGGGCGGGCGATGATCAGCCCAGTAGAGCTGGCTCTTGTTCAAGAAGGTTTAGGCTCCACTGCTGGATCACTGAAAGGGGGTGTTTTTGACTTTGAAGAAGCACAGGATGTAAGGAAATGATGCTCTTGGCCAATAGAGACGCCCACTAGATGGGGAATGATTCCAAAGAACAGTGGTACGATGGTAACGGGTTGAATCGGCGAGGAGAGGAAATCAAAGAGGGCTCTTTGGGGGTATTTCAAAGGTTGAGAGATGCTTATAAGGGAGAAAGAAATGTTGAGCCGTCCGCACCGAACAGCAGCTGAAGAAGACATGTCAAGGATACCGCACCAAGGCAGGAGAAAGCCACAGGCACACTTGAGCCTGCCAGTCGGCTCAAGCTCCAGTGCAGCTGCTTCACAAGTCCTTGTACATGGGACGCATCTTCTGTGCTGAGCTTGACGGTCGACGGAATGTACAGGGGGGCTCGATCGTTTGGTACTATCGAGGTAAATCGTAAAGTTCACTGATTGCCTGCTCAGCCGACTCTTCACCTGAGGCAATTCAGACAAGAAAAGCGAAGTTTGGCGTGGTCAGAGACAGACAAAAAGTGCGTATTCGACAAGACACGAACATATGGAAGTTAGAGCAAGCGACTGGTTGATGGGATGGTGCCATTTTGCATGCAGGGGCAGCTCAGTGTGGTGTGGAAGGCAGACGCCACGTCCGGCCGCTCCCGACATGTAGTCTGCCGCATGCGAATTGCTCTCTTTTTTCACCGACGTGTGCTACTGCTCTGGCTCACTGACGCCTCTCACTTGGCCATGCCATACATTGGTGCCTCGGTGTTGAGCTGCACCTTCCCAGCATTGACAGGGCATGGATCGTCACGAAGCTCTGGTTTCCCAGGGCAGACCAAGATGGTAGACTGGAAAGAGTAGTTCATTCACGAGTACCTAGCCTGCCACAGAAGAGGCCGAGAAATGACGAGGACCACAAGTCAAGTTGGGCAACAAAGGAGCAAACAGGAAAAGGGGTATGTTCATTAACTTCCATTAACACCGTAATCAGTCATGACCAGTCAACCTCAAACCCAAACCCATGCGCCGTTGATGCTCCGTTGCCCTTTCTCCCCCACGTATAAGGACATCATCCTGTGTGTACCGGTATATCAAGAAGATGAGCTGCTCCTCCCGTTGGTGCCGCTGCCACCTCCCGTCGCCGCTGTCGTGTCATGCTGCACATCTTGCGATCCCGACCCCTGGCCCGAGCCATCGACCACATCATCGTTCTCGGGCAGCTCCTCGTCTTCGTATTCATCGTCATCGTAGTCCAACTCCTCGTCGTCGTCCTCGATTTCTTCGAACGAGGGCGCACGACGACGCACTCTGTCGTCGGCGTCACCGTCGCTGTCGCTGTCGCTGTCACTCATGTCAAACGACATGAGGCCGAGCATGGGCACATCGACCTTTCGATACTGGCTCCTGATCAGCCGGTCCGCCGTCTCGAAGAGCTTCGCATCTTGGTCGGAGACCAATTCGCGGTCTATGGAGAAGGAAGCCTCCTCCTGATCGGCCAGATCGTCCCGCGACTGTTCCTGGGGTGCCACGACGTTTTCCGGCACCTGCGTCACCCAGCGCCGAACACGCTCGCCCTTTGTAACGCGAGACCGTGATTCGCGGGCGCGCAGACCGGCTCGGAAGGAGCGCTTCTGACGGCGGCGGCGTCGCTGAATGCGGTCTCGGACGTACCACGCGACGACCAGCATCGCGGCCTGCATGGTGTCCTGACACTTTTGGCGGTGCATATTGGCCCACGCTTGACACCGCTGCTGCTGTGCGTTCGAGATGGCCTGGCACCTCTGCTGGTAGTATGCTGCGATGCGCGAGACCATGTCGATGTAGCGAGGATCCATGGGCTGGCCAGAGACGGGGTTCAGCAGGGTCGCGGTGGCGGCGCCGGCATTGGGCTTTGTGCTGCCGTGCTGGGATGCCATTGTCGAAGGCGGCGTCTCCGTCCTCGCTGGTGTGGGGATGGAAGATGATCTAGGGGCAGTCGTCTTGACATCGTTGAGGAGTGCCTGGATCTCTGGCGGTGCCTTCCGTTTGAGATGCGCGTTCGAGGATGCGATGTGTGGTTGTTGAAAAGAAGTCTGCTCAGGGGGTGGTGTGACGGGAATCAGGGGGTTGCTCTGTAAGGGTCTACGAGCCGCCATCATGTTGTGTGGAATTCAGTGGGTGACCTTCTTGGACTGACAGCTCGATGTTCAGAAATGCCAAGAATAGCGGTATGATATCTTCCCGTTCGCACGATTTCTGTGGCTTTGGGCAATATGTTCTGTTGCGTTGCTTTTTGCTGTTCTACTGCAGTGATGCAGGCTGCAGTACTGTAGTCGTGTGGTGTGTCGCCGTGTTGCGTTGCAGTACATTGGCCTGCGGGGCGGAGGGGAAGCAGCAGCAGCTGGAGACGAAGATGTCGCGAGCTATGTCTTTTGTAAACGGGAAAAGGGGAGAGAGACGGCGGGCCCAGGAGCAGCGGCCAACAGACACAGCACGTAGCCAACGGACGATTTGAAATGGAAAGGGTGACATGGTGGTGACAGGTGGGTAAGCATCCCGTACGTTTCCCTTGGGGCTCTGGGGCCAAGGGTCGATGAGGGTCTGGCGATTCGGGTGCGGAGCGACGACGGAATCGTTGCAGAATGGGCTGACGCGAGCGCAGAATCGGCCGATGCCGAGGGCCACTGCGTGCCACTCTTCGCTCACTCTGACCTCTTCAAGCCTTCAGAGCCCGCCCTTTTCGCCCAAGGCGTCCGCATTCTCTGCTGATACTAGTTGCCACCGTGCTGCCCCCTGCTGCCTGCGATCTGGCCAGCTGGCAGTCGAGTCCGTTGTTGTCGGCGGTCCGTCGTCAAAGTGGTCACACTCGAGGGGAGATCCTGGGTTTGTGGGCAGCTGCACTAACGGATGGAACGACGGCAATGGTCTCGCATGGGATGGTATTGACGGCACGGACGAGCCTTGTACGACGCGCATTGTGGTTTGAAGATGCAGGTGATGTCGGTACATAGGTAGCTGGTGCATGAACAGGCGAACGTTGTTTGTTGGGTCGGTCCGTGATGCAGGATTCTTTCTCGGGATTCTTTCTGTGGTGTAGAGGAGATGGAGAGAGAGAGAGAGCAAGCCAACACCCGGCTGGCAGCATTCGGTGGTCTGTCTGCTCCATATCGCCAACCGCGCACCATTCTCGAGTTTCTGGATTCAAATCAGCTCGTTTGACAAGTCTTGGCTCGCAGATCGATCGTGAACAGATCATGATGATCTTCAGCTGACAGCTGATGGCGAAGCAACGTCGTACACGGAAACAGGACGAGAACTTGTCGGGCCATCAGCTTGCCTGCCGGGGCGTCTCCTCGCACTGACAAGCTTTGCATCTTCCGCCTGCATCATCTGGTTTTCGAAACGATCTTCAGCTGCCCTTGGGAACAACGGTCTTTCGTCATGGGCGTATGACTGCTCGTCCCAATCTCGTGGTCCTGAGTCGATCATGAGGAAAGATGCAGGGGCCTCGGAACCTACAGGGCCGTTCTGGGCTCCGTTGCTGGGTGCCTCATGAGGTCGTCCCCGCACTGTTATTTTGCACCGTATAGCCTGCAGTAAAGAGCACCCAGAAGATACTGGAGTGCACGAAACCCGGGGGACCAGTGTCCATAAATACAGTGTTCTCGCTTGGAGCACTGTCCATTACTCATCTGGCTCACGATCTCATCATGCAACAGGCCCTTGCTCGTCTCATCAAAAGTGTCTCTATCAATAGCAGATTGCATCAACTTCCATTTCCACCACACCCCCCCATCGACCATATCCTTGACCTTCCAATTCATGCCATTCATGGTGTCTCTTCATGTTGGCTCGACCTCTCACCACCCTCACCCAGTGTGATGCATTGGTGCCCCTTTTTACCCCGAGACTGCTCTCCGCATCGCTTCGCCATGGCCGCTGTGCACCGGCATGTACCATGGGCCGGCGCGTGTCTGCTTGGCACCTTCGGATGACGACACGAGGAAAGAAGACCAAGACGACTGTGAGACTCGAAGACCTTCCGCAAGGCGTCATCTCGTTCGAGCCCCCACCATCAGTTACCACTAATGGGCCACCACAACAGCAGGCTGCTGCTGAAGCAGCCCCTGACAGTGATGATGGCCCGGCCTATCCCACCGTTCTGCTACAAGCGCGGCGCAATATGCAAAAGTTTGACAACTGCGTCCTGCTGACGCGGGTTGGCGGCTTCTACGAGCTCTACTTCGAGCACGCTGACGAGTACGGTCCCCTGCTCAACCTCAAGGTGGCCCAGAAGAAGACGACGGCTGGCCCCGTGTCCATGGCCGGCTTCCCCTTCTTCCAGCTGGAGCGCTTCCTCAAGATTCTCGTCCAGGACTTGAATCGCTACGTCGCCGTGGCCGAAGAGTTTCCGAATACTGCAGCGGATAAGATCAAGTCTGGTGGCCTGATGCATGACCGGCGCGTGGCCCGCATCATTACACCCGGCACGTTGATCGACGAGAACTTCATGGACCCATATGTCAACAACTATGTGCTCGCCATACATGCGCCTTCGTCTTATGGAACTTCAACCGTTGAAACGAGCAGCGTTGCCGTTGGACGTGATGCCCTTGATGCTAGCCCGCCGTCGACTTGTCTGGGACTCGCATGGCTGGATCTGTCCACCGGGCAGTTCTTCACCGAAGCGGCCAATGTGTCGGCTCTTCCATCTATTCTTTCACGCATATCACCAAAAGAAGTGGTCCTCGACCAAGCACTCCAATCATCCAAAGACCATCATGTTGTCTCCATCCTCGCCGAGGATCGGCATCTGGTCACCTATCATCCGCCAGGGGAGGCAACAGGCCTCGCTGACTGGGCGCCCATGCTGGAGTCGGAGGTGCCAGAAGACAAGAGAGCTGCCTTCACGAGCGAGGAAGTCGCAGCGGGCAGCCTGCTGCTTTATTATGTCGGCGAGCGCCTTCAGGGACTGAGCCTGAAGTTGCAGCCACCGGTGCGACATGGGACGATGAGTGTCATGAGCATTGACAAGAACACAATGCGTGCCCTCGAGATCAAACAGACCATCCGGGATGGCTATTTCCGTGGTAGCCTCCTCCATGCCATCAGGCGCACCGTCACGAAAAGTGGTGCTCGACTACTGAATGAGTGGCTGAGTGCGCCGTCCACCTCATTAGAAGTCATCGAGGCGAGACTGGATCTCGTCACATGTTTCATAGAGAAAGCGGACCTTCGTGATACCGTCATCCTCCTGCTTCGCCGCAGTCATGACTCTCAACGTTTGGTCCAGAAATTTGCCCTCGGGCGAGGTGACCCAGATGACCTGCTCGCCCTGGCAAGCACTGTGCAAGCATGCAGCGATATCGCGACGAGGCTCAGCAAGGCAGCAAAGACGGGCGCTACTGCCAGCTGTCTGGCCGCCATCGTCGCCCGCCTAGACCTCAAGAAACCCACGGAGCTTGCGCGACGCATTAAGGAGGCTATCGATGAAGAAGGCATCGTTCACCAGCATGAGATTGAGGATGGCGAAGCTGGTCATATGATGGCCCTTGCTCAGGAGATTGTCAATGCTGAAGGTTCCCAAGACGATGCAGCGGCCGTCATACCCAAGACTACGGTCAAAAAGCCTGGCAAAGCACGCCCGACATCGGTTCGCGAGTACTATGCCGACGATAACGAAGCCTGGGTCATGAAACCGTCGGCAAGCCCCCGGCTCGAGCGTCTCCATGCCGAGCTCACCGGTCTTCACGCAGCCAAGGACACTCTCATGGGGAGCCTCCGCGAGCAGCACGCTGCTCCAAGCCTTACACTCCGCTGGACGCCTGGACTCGGTCACATCTGCCACGTCAAAGGGAAAGATGCCCGAGCCCTTGCCGAAGACTCGACGGCCAGGCCCATCAGCGCCAGCCGCTCGACGCGGTCATTCCACCTCCCCGAGTGGACAACGCTGGGCCAGCGCCTCGACTCTGCGAGACTTGCCATCCGTTCCGAGGAGCAGCATGTTTTCCAAGCCCTTCGCGAGCGTGTCATCCTCAATCTCGTCAAGCTCCGCCGCAACGCCGCGGTCCTCGACGAGCTGGACATTGCCACATCCCTCGCCCTGCTCGCACGCGACCAAGGCCTCACGCGGCCCCGCCTCAATCACTCCACGACGACGACGATCCTCGGCGGCCGCCACCCCACCGTCGAGGGCGGCCTCACCGAGCGCGGCCGCTCCTTCGTCCGCAACGATTGCCTCCTCGGCCCCGCGCCCGCCCACGCCCCGCTCTGGCTCATCACGGGGCCCAACATGGCCGGCAAGAGCACCTTTCTCCGCCAGAACGCCCTCATCACCGTCCTCGCCCAGACCGGCTGCTACGTGCCCGCCGCGCACGCCGAGCTCGGCCTCGTCGACGCCCTCTTCAGCCGCGTCGGCTCCGCCGACAACCTCTACCGCGACCAGAGCACATTCATGGTCGAGATGCTCGAGACGGCGCACATCCTGCGCGCCGCGACGCCGAGGTCCCTCGTCGTCATGGACGAGATTGGCCGCGGCACGACGCCCGAGGATGGAGCCGCCGTCGCCTTTGCGAGCCTGCATCACCTCGCCACGGTGAACCAGTGCCGCGCGCTGTTCGCGACGCACTTTCACGCCGTGGCGGACCTTGCGGCGGCGCGGGGCCTCTGCGGCAGTGGAGAGGGGGCTGGGCGCGACGCAGGTCGTGTGGAGACGTACTGCACCGATGTCGAGGAGGATGAGTCGGGGGGGTTCGTCTACGTGCACAAGCTACGGAAGGGGGTGAACCGGCAGAGCCATGCGCTCAAGGTTGCGCGGCTTGCTGGGCTGCCCGAGTCGGCGATCCAAGTCGCGGGTGACGTCTTGGGTGAGGTATCGGGTGACAGAACTACGAAGTTGTAACAACAGATTGCCGCATTACAGGACACGACGGAGCAGGGCGTTGGCACCAAAAGCATAAAGACAGGAGGTCATTCAGTGGATATTCTAGCCTGCATCTTGAATGCTTGTTAGCCTCGTTGATACCGATTAAAAACCAGAGTAATAAAAGGCAGAAAGAGGCCATCCCTCATACAATGTTGTTGTTGTTGGGATAAGAGTCATCAAGTAGATCAGGGTTAAAAAGCTCTGTATCTGTGTATAATCTTCGGGAGGCGGCGCTGTTGAAGCGGTGGTGTTGCGAGAGAATGAAGAAAGAGAGCAAACTAACCTTTTGAAAAACAGACAAACGTACCGCGTTGGCAAACGCACATACATAGTCACCAAAATCTTCGTGGAGCTTCGCGTTTCTCACATCATCAAATGCGGTAGGCTTAATTGAGCGCGCAGCCTCTCTATGAAGTCGTGTCCGAGGTCCACATAACGTCGTAAGCCTGACCGTCGCCCGGGTATAGCCGCACCAACATCAATCATGTCGTCACATTTAGTCGCTGCAAAGCACGTTAGCATGGTCACGTCGTCGTGCGCGTTGGGGCCGGGGGTTGCATACAAGAGACCACCGAAGCCACCATCCTCGTCGGACTCCTCCTCCTCCTTCTCCTCAGCCTTCTCCTCGGCCTTGGTCTCGACGGCGCCGGAGCTGGCAGCGGGGGCAGCGGCGGCGTACGCGTCGGGGTTGGCGATGCGGTCCTTGAGGGACTCGATCTCGGGCCAAGAAATCTCGGTCTCGATGGCGACGGCGAGGACCTTCTTGTACGAGTTGACAAGAGAGTGGATGACCGAGGGCAGGGTGGGGAAGTTGATGGCCAGGGAGATGGCGGCAATGGCGGTGATGGCACCGGCGAAGGTCTTGAGGAGCTGCTCCTCACCAATGTCGAGGACGTCGGCGGGGAAGGTCTGTCCCTGGTCGTAGACCTGGGCAATGCCGAGACCGTAGGTGAAGGGCGAGATGTTGAGCAGGTTGAGAAGCGAGGCCTCGGAGGCACCAACCTTGCTGTTGGCCTCGACGAGCTTCAGGTCCGAGGTGATTTCGATGGTACCACGGGCAATCTTGGTGGGGACACCAAGAGCCTGGAAGAAAGAGGTCTTGCCGGGCTCCATACCGGTGTTGCCGGCGGGAATCCAGACGTCGGAGGGGGCGACTGCACCGGCACGAGCAGGGGCAGCGACCTTGTTGGCGAGGACCTTGTCACGAATCTCCTTGAGGTCACCGTTGGTGAAGACGAAACCAACGTTGCCCTTGACGTGGGGCAGAAGGCGCTCGTACTCGGGGGAGTCGGCAATGAAGGTCTTCAGGGCGCGACGGACCATGGTGTTCTTGCCCATGAGGACAACGGCATCGCCACGGAGCGAGTGACGCACCTGGTGCATCTGCTGGGAGGAGACACTGGGGAGCGGTTAGCTACGCGTTTCGATGGAAGCAATCGAGGCAGCATCGCAAGCAAGAGCGAAGGGGGAAAAAAGAAGACTCGACTGGAACGTACTTGTCGACGGTGACGATAAAGATGGAGTTGTACTCCTCGAGCAAGCCCTTCAGCTTGTCGAAGTAGCCGGCCTTGTTAGCAGATTTGCCCCCCATATCTTCTTTTGTTTTGAAGGCAGGATGTTTCAGGGCAAATGGTATGTGATGTGAGTTGGGGGGGTATCCGGCGATGATGGATAGTACGGAGTTGACGAAGCAGGAGAAGCTCTGGAAGTTTTCTCGCCCAACTGGATTTGCGACATGGTCGAAGTGTGGTCAGCCCGCTTAGGGCAAGCGAGAACTAGTCAGCTTTGGGCAAAGCGTGTGGAAATCTTGGCGCGCTGACAGGGGGTGGACCCACCGCAGGTACAAGCCCAAAGTATCTTTTTTTCTTAGTGGGGTGGCTCTCATGTTCATCCCACCCGATCAGAGTTGAGTGAGATCTTCAGTGACCAGTGACGCTCTCAGATATCTTTGGTAGTTCTTTGGTGGTCATCTCTCTCGGCACCTAGAAGATGAAGCTCCCTTACAGTTTTCTCCAACCCTCAGGCAACGTTCTTTTCGCTGCGCGCGGCGCCAAGATTCATTCGTTCAACCTCGAGGACAACACTTACCTCGCGACATGGCAACATCCTGATGTTGAGAAAAGCGCGGGAGCAGGCGCCTCCAAGTCTGGTCCCGACACGAAAGAAGGCAATGGTCCGGCATCAGCTCTCGAGGTCACGGGTGATACGTCAACATTAAAGGATACGGCTGAGGCTGAGGTGCAGGATGGACCGCCAGCCAAGAGGCAGAGGCTTCAGGAGGAGCAGGACGCACAACCAGACAAGGACGAAGGGGCCATGGATGTCGACGAGCCATCGGCTGAGGACCAGAAGAAGGGCAGTGGCTTCAAGAATCGGAAGCAGAAGCAAAAGGAGAGGCAATATCGCCAGGGAGGACCCAATGTCAGGGGCACCTATGGAAGGACCGTCGAGCAGCCACTCATCTCCCACCTGCTGGTGACCAGCAGTGGCAGCCATCTCGTTGCCGTCTCTGGACACGACAAGACAATATGGACGTTCGAACATGATGGTCGTGGCGCCCTCACTCTGTTCTCACAACGGTTGGCCTGCCCCCCATTCTCGCCAGTCGTAATGTCCGTCACTGACCCCGAGACAGGCCTATGCCCAAGCGCCCCTGCACGGCACTCATCAGCCCGGACGACAAGCTCATTCTCAGCGCCGACAAGTTTGGCGACGTTTACACGGTTCCTCTGCTCGGCGTGCCGTCCGCTGCGTCTGAAGAGCCCCAACCCGCATCCTCAACCCCGGTCCCGGAGTCCTCGAAAGAATGGAAACCTCAAGGCACCAACCTTACCGTCCACTCCCGTCGCAACCTTGAAGCCCTCCAGCAGCAGCAGAGCCACGCAGCCAAGGCGCACGCGCTGAACGAGGCTCACCAAGCCGAGAAGGTCAAGTTTGAGCATAACCTCATCATCGGACACGTCTCGCTCTTGACGGCCATGATCCTGGCACAAAAGGGCGAGCGAAGGTACATCGTCACCGCAGACCGCGACGAACATATCCGCTTGTCCAGGTACGTGCCACAGGCGCACGTCATTGAGGGATACTGCCTCGGTCACACGCACTTTGTCAGCGCCTTGACGATACTGCCAACCCGTCCGGACGTGCTCATCTCAGGAGGTGGTGATGTTGAACTCTATGCTTGGGACTGGGAGGCCTCGAAGCTCCTGGCCAAGTTCGACCTGCTGCCGTACGTCGCGCAGGCCGTGGCTGGTGAAGCGCCGACCAAGCTGGCCGTCTCACAACTGACCTCTGTTCCTGTGACCCTTGCCGGAGAGAACACCCCTTCGTCTTTGATCTTTGTCACATGTGAAGGGTACGTTTGAAGCGCTTCTTCCTCCAATTCACAAACGCAACAAGCTAACTGAGGCCTGACAGAGTTCCCGCCATCATCATCTTCCAAACGGACTCCGAGTCCATCGTCAAGCACCACAGTCTCATCCCCACAAGCGGCAACCCGCTTCACATCGCTCACATCTCTGGGCGCGATGGTGTGCCAGCCCGCGCCATCGTCGCCCTCGATCCTGGCGAGGCCACGGAGCCCGTTGAGACGCTCTCTCTCTCGTTGGCAGGCGGCGCAGTCACCGCCGAGTCCTTCAAGCTGCAGGACGACGAGGTGACTGCTGCCGAGGCCGACGTATCCCAGGCCGAGGTGCGAAAGCTTCTCTACAGCGTGGAAGACTTGCGTAAGCACGACTTTGACGGCGATGAAGCTGCTGAAGAAGGGAAGAACGGACAGGAGGACAAGGGCACGGGGGCATAGCTCAGATAGCAAGCTGACTTTGATTCCCAGCAAACCTGCCTGCCCTTGGTTAGTTCACGTGACGACTGTTTGCGGCAGGATGTTCCTGCTGGTGGATCGCCTTTAGCTCACATGATAGCGCGAGTGAGGGTGTTGAGTTGGGGGTTGCATCGGCGCCCATGAGTGACGACGAGGTGCGCTAGTAGGTCGATCCAGGAACGCGACGACTCGCGCAAGCCATCCAGGTGTCACCAAGCACAAGTACCAAGATTCACAAAACCTGGCGACGGTATCATATTCTTTCTGGAGAGAATTCACTGTTCATTTCGTATCATCTATGCTCTAAACGCCGCTCCCGAACCATGTGTCGACTGATGTCGAGCGAAAACAGCCGAATCATTAAGACATCGGGCGTTATGCGCGCCCGGCGACACAAGACGGGACAACACCGCAAGCCTCTCGCGGATTGCTGCCCCGTCTCCTAAGTATACGCGCGAAAGCGCACAAGAAATCCCACGGCCTTCCAAGCCGCATCGGTATCGCCTGGGCACGTCCTGAGCCCTGTCCATGCAATGCAATCGTCGCAGCTTCTCTTCCCCGATCCCCAACGCTCCGCGATCAAGGTATCATGCAACATCGCTCGCAGCGTGCAAGTCGTCTCGGAGACAAGCTGGGCTCACTGTCGTGTGCCCTCGCAAGCCGAAGACGTCACCCCCCCCCCCTCTCTCTCTGATAAACAATCGCCTGAGAAAACGACACAGTTTACTGAGAAGCGCACTGCACGCGCTCGCCGTGTGGGTGGCCGTCCTCGTCATCCTCCTCCATGGAGCCGCCGCCAGCGCCGCCGCCAAAGACGCGAGCCTGGGATTGCGTCTCGATGTCCTCGAGATCTGCGGGCTCGGTCATGCCATCAGGAGGCGGGACGGTCTGGAGGCTGGGGGCGGGAAGCAGCTTGCGGAGGGCCTCGAATGAAGCCTCATCCTGCATCCAGTTCTTCTCGGGGAACTTGACGCTGAACTGGATGTACATATTGCCGTGGTCGTGGTGCCTCTCGGAGGGCATACCCTGGCCGCGAACCATCTTGACAGCATCTATAAACACACCAAGTCAGTGGAACGCTCTTGCGGAAAGATCTAGAAGGGGAAACATACCAGGGCAGATAGCCTCGCCAGGCAGAATGTCGATGCTCAGCCACCTGTCATCGAGGTGCTCGACGAAAATGGTTCCACCAGCCAGAGCTGTCACGAGCTCGATCTCAGCCTTGTACAGCAGATCGTCCTCCTTGCGAGTGAAGCGCGCGTGGGGCTTCTGCTCAATCTCGAAGACGACATCACCGGCCTGGATGCCAGGCGCCTGGTCACCCTCGCCACGGAACTCAACCTTCTTGCCGCTCCTAACACCGCGATCGACGTGAACGTGGAGAACCTTGCGATCGACGACAGTCTTCTTACCGCTGCAGTGCTTGCAACGGTCCTTCGTGTTGATGGTCTCTCCCTCGCCACTGCAGTCGGGGCAGACAGTCTGGAATCGCTGGATCATGGGACCCATCTGGCGCATCATGGTCTTCATGCCGTGGCCGTCACAGCCGGCGCAGCGCTTGACGGCGCCTTCCTTGCCGCCGCGGCCTTCGCACTTGGGGCAGATGATGGAGCGCTGGAGGGCGAGCTTGGAGATCTTGCCGCGGTAGATGTCCTCAAGCGAGACCTTGTGAGTGTGGTGGATGGTGCGGGCCTTGGGAGGGCCGCGGTTCTGCATGCCGCCACCGAACATGCCGCCGAGGCCACCGCCACCGCCGCCGAAGAACTGAGCGAACAGGTCCTCAGCGGCCATGCCGCCGCCGCCGGCACCTCCCTCAAGGCCAGCCTCGCCATACTGGTCGTAGATGCTGCGCTTCTGGGAGTCGGAGAGAATTTCGTAGGCGTGTGAGATTTCCTTGAACTTGTCCTCGGCAGCGGGGTTGTGTGCGTTCTTGTCTGAAGGTGACGTCTGTTAGTTGCGGCCTGACGAGAGACCATAGCGATAAGAGGCACATACCAGGGTGGTACTTCAAGGCGCCCGTCTTGTAAGCCTTCTTGAGCTCTTGCTCAGTGGCGGTAGGCGCAACCTGTACTGATGTTAGTCCTTTGTTGCTTCTTCTTTTTTTTTCGATGCCATGTTGGAAACGAAAGAGGAATACATACGCCGAGAACATCGTAGTACTTGGTTTCTTTAACCATCTTGCCGCGGGGCTAAAGGGTGCTTATCGCAGAGGGTTGGCGGGGAATCCGGAGATTGACTGGGGCAGTCGGAGGGGTGGGATGGAGGGGTCTACAGCAGGAGGATTCTCGTCAGTCGCAAGTCTTGAGCGTTCGTTAAGAGTCGCTGGCAGCGCTGGTTTATGGGGTTAAGAAATGTCGCAAAGTCGAGCCGACAGTGGTGAAGCCGGCTGTGGTTGGAGCCTCGGGCGAAGGTATTGTTCGGCTAGGCTGGGAGGGAAGTGACAGGGGCACGGGTGTGGAGGGTACTGACTGTAAAGAACCGGCTGTAAATTGCGCGATGGATCGAGGGTTTGTTCTGCGGATTTCGTCTATCGAGTTGGGATGAGGTTGCAGGCGCGGAGTAGGGAAGCGTGGGATATGTTGTCTTATGATCGCAAGTGCATCGAAAGATTTCTGTCGACTCAAGAAAGAAGACTCTGGAACAGCACGAGGCGGGATACGTAAACGCCTAGACTCTGGGTTTTTCAAAATAAAGGGAGTTTGCGGGTCTCTCACTCGCTGCCTTGTTGGAAAGCGGGAAGCTTGGGCTGGTCATGGAAGAGTGTGGAAGACTTTCGATCGGACGCGCCACTGTGGCTGTGCCTTCCACGTCTGTGCGCCCTTCCATCCGATCATGCCTGCCTCTGCCTCTGCCTCTGCCTCGGCCTCGGCCTCTTGCCTCTCTCTGTCTGATTGATTACGTGAGGCCTCACCCAACAAGGCTCTGTCGTTTTCCTCAGGACATTTCTGCCAGAGAGAAGATTCATGATGCTCTCCTTACCTAGGTACAATCAGAACGGTCTCAACGACTCTTATCAACAAGCTAGATCATTTTCGGCGTCGTCCTATTCGGAACATCAGATTGGTCCTACGCATGCCCCCCAAAATAAAAGCTTCTTCCTTCAATCAGCTCTCGCCAAAATCTTCCAGCGCGACACCTAGCTAATCTCTCGATTTGGTCGTAACATAGGCTTCGCCGAGGGGCAGCCGTTGCTACTACTTATACTTACATGTAACTCGACGAGCCGAGCAGGGACGAAAGCCCCTCGTGTGGCATCCGAACTCGTACTGGCAAAATCCCCATTACCTGCGCAGCCGCCAGCTATAGTCACGGCGCTCCCGATGAAGATGACAGGTAGGCCCTCCAAATAGAACGAAGCCAAGCCAGGACTATAAGGACATTCTGCCGTGCGAATTGCCTGCCGCTCTCTCCCCTTTCCCGCTGAATAGTTTGCTGTGCAACGATTTGCTGTGCGACCAATTGCAGTGCAAAGAGGGTTACAAGGGCGCCGGCATCGCCATATTCGCCAAAAGGCGGAGGCTGGTCTTGTTTGCCCGTGTCTTGGGCATGAAGACCATCTAGTCGAAAGCTCGTATTCGTGCCAAGTCCGGCCCAGATCGCCAATACCGAAGCTATAGACCCTTGACCTGGGGAGACGACTCCACTCAGCCCACTGACTTGGGAGTCAGGAGCCTGGAATAGATATCATCACGATGCTTGGAATACGAAATGACCCACCAGGGTCAAAACTTGAATGTGCTCATAAAATCTAAGGAATTCCCTCCATGGCTCTGACATCAACTCGTTCATCTCCTTCTTGACACCGGATTACTCGTTCATCTCCTTCTTGACACCGGATTGAAATCATCACGATCAACTTCTGAACAATGGCACCTCGGTCTATGCTCCTGGCAGTGGCCGCCGCCGCGATACCTCAGCTGACTGCTGCCGTCTCTGTGGACTTGCCAATTACTTACTACAACAGCTATGTAAGTCCCTCCCTTCAAGCCTGCCGACGGCCCAACACAAGGCCGATGCGAGGAGTGCGGCGTTGGGAACCATCTGCTAATCGAGATCCCAGTCCAGCGTCGACGTCGAAATCGGAAAGCCCTCCAAGACGTATCGCCTTCACCCCGACACTGGCAGCTCCACCACCTGGGTCGTCGACAAGGGCTGCGCAGAATGGTGCCACAACAACACACCGTAGGTGGTGCTCGTTCCGAAGGTGGACGCACAAGACAACTAACAACGGCCAGGTATCAACGTGTTGGATACAACGTGACGGCGTCCTGCACAGGCTACCCCCTAAACAGGACCGCCGACATCAGCTACTTGGGCGGCTACGTTGCCGGTGATGTCGTGAATGACAAGTTTACTGTCAACAACCAGACCTGGCGCCAGCCCTTCCTCAGCATCTACTATTCCGACTGGAACAACATGCCTACCGACGGCTTCATGGGCCTTGCTTTCGACAGCATTATGGTGGGAGACGCCAACAACGTGCTGACCATGCTGATGCCCGACCTCGATGAGCCCCGATTTGGCATTTACCTTGGCGAGAGCGACGCCGCCGACGAGCCTGGCCTGCTGACGATGGGCTCCTCCAAGGAGTCTGAGTACTCAGCCGCGGAGCTCACGAAGGTTCCCATCGTCAAGGGCCCGGATGGACGCTACGACGTCTGGCGGTCCTTGATCAAGGGCGTTTCGTTCAAGGGCTTCGACTCAGTCAATGGTGGCGTCAGCACGACGGACCTTGGCCTCACCAACGTGGTCTTCGACACGGGCGCTGGTAAGTCCTCGCTACCCACCGACAAGGTCCTTGCCGTGTATGAGACCATGGGCCTCAATTACACGGATCTCCTCGACGGCAAGCGCGTGCTCAAGTGCTCCGAGTTCAACTCGTCGTGGTCCATCTCATTGGAGTTTAGCCCACCCGGCGTCTCGGAGCCCATTGTGCTAACGGCCTCGGGCGAGGACCTCCGCAAGCCCGGCTTCCCGGCGGCGCCCGACGCATGCTGGCCGCCTTTCGAAGACAGCGGCGCCGAGGGCTTCACGCTCATCGGCACGCCGTTCTTGAGGAACTTCTACACTGTCTGGGACTTTGGCGCCAAGGACGAGGCGGATTTTGAGCCGACTCTGGGATTCGCCCACGTACGTCAGTGAAGGATGAATCGTGCTTCAACAGACAGGCGGCCCGTCTCCTCTACCATGATGAATAGTAATTGAAGCGTTCATGTTCTTCCGTTCTCAAATGCAATCCACGACCCACGCCGCTGCAGGTGTGTGCCGCGTGCGCCGACTGGAAGACTCTTTGACTTCAGCACTTGTTGCGACTACGTATCAGTTAGCACGGCGCTGCGGGCGCTGGCGCGCGTGGCGGCCGAGCTTATCTATTATCAATGTCAATCATGCAGCGTGGGCGGGGTGTTTGCGGCAGCCCCGCGCCCTCGGAGAAGCACCATTCCTCGACAGACTGCTGAGAGCGGCCTGGCCAGTCAGGTGGCGGGTAATCAGCAGGCTTCGAGCCTGTCCGACTATCAGGCCATTGAGGGGGGTTTAGCATGTTTGGCATATCGTTCTTTTCTTCTCCTTCTTTGTGACTGTGGATTGGAAGTTGAAGAGAGTCCAGTTCAAGCTCGAGGTCTCCGACACATCAGCAAACAGACGCGGTGCAGAGCTCATTACCACCATGGACACTACGAGTGACTTTAGCCCGTACCGCGCGGACGGCAAGCTTGTGAGTGACGTCGTGAATGCCACGGAGTCCGGCGGGGGCAACTCACTGACAGTAGGATCCAGTACGGCTTTGTCTGCGTCGTGACGGGTGCTTCACAGCCGGTGGGACAGGCCATCATCGAGGAGTTGGCGAGTACGTGCGCTTGACCTGAGGTCCTATCCTCACAGTGCTGACCTGACGACTGACCATGCTTCACAGCTCACGGCGCCGCCTCGATTTACGGTATGCAACTACGCCTGGACCTGATGGCGTTGCTCTTCCTTTGACAAACAAAGGGGCAGCGATTGTGTACGTGTGTGACTGACGAAGAGATACGGCAGCCTGCGACCATTCGGCCAGCGACGAGAGCTACGCACCCTTGCTCCGCAAGCTGGCGCAGCACGCGCCCAACACCAAGATCATCCCGTACCCGTTCCACATTGCCAAGGAAGAGGACACGCTGACGCTCATCGACGAGATCCTCGCGGCGTTCGGCCGGCTCGACGTGTGGGTGTCGTCCTCGGGCCTGCTGGGCCCGGCCGCCATCTCGGAGACGACGCCGCAGGACCTGCAGCGGTGCTTCGAGGCACACTCGATGGCGCCCTTTTACGCACTCAAGTACGCGCCGCCGGCCATGGGCAAGCTGACGGAGAAGCAGGCGTACCCAAACGCGGCACCCAAGACGCATTCGTACGGCAGCGTCATCGTCGTGGGCAGCGTCGCGGGGACGTATGGCGGGTGCTGGGGCCCGGCCTACACCATGGCGTCGCACGCGGCGCTGGGCGTCGTGAGGGCCGGCGTCGCTGTGCTCAAGGGCACGGGCGTCAGGGTGAACTGCATTTCGCCGGGTCAGATTGACGTCGGGGTTGACCTGCACGGGGTGAGTCCTGCGTTATTCCTTTTCTTGTCTTGTTGGTAACCCAAGCGAGGAGTATTCTGCTGACGGTTGACACACACACGTAAAGACCGACGTCAAGGGGATGAATGCGCAGTTCCCTCCGGCGAGCTTGCAGACCAAGGAAGCGTCGGAGGCGACCGTCGGCTTGGAGCGGGCGGGGAACCCCGAGGAGGTCGCGAGAGTCGCGGGCTTCCTGGCCTCGGGCTTCTCGTCGTACGTCAACGGTGCCAACCTCATCGTGGACGGCGGTGCATCGTGAGTGGTGTCTGTGACTGCCACCGGGAATTTGATGAGAACTGACTTTTCCGTGTAGTGTCATGAACCCTCTGACGATTCCCATCTAAGGCCTTGGGTAGGTGTTGGAGGAGGACAGCCTTTGCCTCTTTGGCAAAGACGGATGGGACGAGTTGGCATCGAGCTAGGCGACATGTCTCCCGTCGTTTCTGCAGGTGCCTATTCGTATGGTCGGTCGCGAAGCACGATGACAGCTAGTCATAAGAAACAGAAATATTCTTCTCGATGACAACAAAGCCGGATGCGCGAATCCATAGTGATATTTGATGAAATTGGGTTGATGGAGTGGTTGAGGGGGCTGCAAGACTTGGCGCAAACAGCGAGGTACAGAAGGGGAAGGCAGCGGCGTTTCGGTGGAGTCCGGGCCATTCCTATCAGCTGTTGCCCTCTAACTCCAAGGCTCTATCAAAGCCCTGCGGGCCCTTGCGCTCGTCCGTCCCAGCGCCCGTACGCCCAGTGAGTTTTTGTCACAAGACTTGATATCTCCAACCTCCCGTCCTCCTCTCCCTCTCCTCCCTCTTTCACTCCCACCTTATACCCGCATCTTTAGCCAAGGAAAGGAGAAAAGAAAGAATCAAGATGCCTAGCTACAAGACGTACTCCATCCAAGACGAGTCCCACCTCGCCGAGGTCGCCTCAAAGTACGGCCTCACCAAGGACCAGGTCCAGACGCTGCACGATAGGTCCGTCGCTGCTAAGAGCACGGCGTACTGCCCCTACAGCAAGTTCCGCGTCGGCGCCACCATCCTCTCCAACGCCGGCCAGTTCACCGACGGCGCCAACATTGAGAACGCTTCCTACGGCGTCGGCACCTGCGCGGAAAGGGTCGCCTTTGCCAAGGCCGTCCAGGAGGGCATCCGCGGCTTCAGCGCCGTCGGCGTCGCGGCTGACATTGAGCCCACCGTCAGCCCCTGTGGTGCGTGCCGACAGTTGTGAGTCGCCCCTTTCTGTACTGGCTTGCCTGGCTCGACTTGCGTGGCACTGTCCGTGGTTGTGGTCCCATGAAACTGACAAAGGGCAGCATCCGTGAATTCTGCACAGTTGAGACGCCAATCTTCATGTTCAACATCAAGGGGGACTATGTTGTCTTGACACTGGACGAGGTGAGTGGCCACCCCTGTGACCTAAGGTGCTGTTGTTAGCTGTGCATCAAGCATTGGGCTGACGAAACACCAAGTTATTGCCTATATCATTCGGACCTGATGTGCTCCCCCCTCCGGAAGTCTTGGAAGCGAACTTGGCACAGCTCAAGTGAGCATCATATTTCACTAGATGTAGTATTCATCTAGTAAGGGCAGGCTCACTTGAGCCGTTAATATAGTAAAAAAAAACTGGAATCAAAATATCACTTGGAATAGCCAAACCCGTAACCACCTGTGCATCAAACGAACGCAACAGCGGTAGGACCTATCTCTTGCGACACTCACCGCGCGTGCTGGGACACGACGGCTGGCGAACTAGGTATTACCTACAGGTGCCTTATTGCTTGGACACATGCCTGGTCAGGGCTTGTTCGGTGGGGGGTGCCTCGACGCCGCGGGGTAATGGCGGGGTACGTTAGGTCGCTGTACGTCGAACAATATTTCCATCTGCCCCTCACTGCTTCCAACCCTCTATTTGGGCCACAACCTAGCTGCCTACTAAGTACGCTTCGCATGCTTATACAGGCTGCCCTCCAACTATACACACACAAGTGGTGCACGACACATCATCATCACTATGGTGCAGCAATGTAATTAGGAAACTGATTCATGATTTGCCCCCCCTAACTACAGACCGAGAGACCGAAAGAGAAATCGAGACGTGAACCTGCCCCATTATTCTCCGATGGCTCCCGTCCGCACCTTCAGAAGCATTAAGGTGCCGGAGAGACCCATGAGCCTTCTTCGCCCGCAATGAAGCCACTTTTTGTGATCGCCACTGATGAGCCAGGGCGCAGCCGGCCGCGCGGCAACCGACCAGCCGCGCCCCAGGCGACGTCTCTAAGCAGCGTCGACCGATCTATCGACAAACAACAACGACTGGACAGGACCTTCTTCGACGGTCCTGGGAAGCACGCCACCCAAATGCAAGGTCCGTCCGTGATAGGGTGGATCTCCGAGTGTGCCCTTGTCCCAAGACCCAAAACGCGTGGTGTATGTGGGTGTGTGTGGCGCTTAGATGAGGTCGGCGACGTTCATGGGCATCTCCTCAATCTGGGTGCTGTAGAACTGCTCAATCTCACGCATCATGCGAACATCCTCGGCGGTAACAAAGTTGATCGCAACGCCCTTACGGCCGAAACGGCCACCACGACCGATACGGTGGATGTAGTTCTCGCGGTTGGCGGGAAGGTCGTAGTTGATGACCAGCGAGACCTGCTGGACGTCGATGCCACGGGCCAGAAGGTCGGTGGCGATCAGGACACGAGAAGAACCGGAACGGAACTCCTTCATAATCAGGTCACGCTGACCCTGGTCCATGTCACCGTGCATGGCGGAGACGGTGAAGTCACGGGCAGTGAGCTTGTCGGTGAGCCAGTCGACCTTGCGGCGGGTGTTGCAGAAGATGACGGCCTGGGTGATGGTGACAGTCTCGTACAGATCGGAGAGGGTGTCGAGCTTCCACTCCTCCTTCTCGACGGCAATGTAGAACTGCTTGATACCCTCAAGGGTAAGCTCGTCCTTCTTGACGAGGATACGGATAGGGTCGCGCATGAACTTGGTGGTGACCTCGAGGACGTCCTGGGGCATGGTGGCGGAGAGAAGGACGACCTGGGTGCTCTGGGGAAGGAGCTGGAAGATGTCGTAGATTTGCTCGGTGAAACCGCGCTGGCAAGACGTGTTAGACGACACACGATGGAGATTCAGAGAGGGAGAAGGGTGGAACGTACCGAAAGCATCTCGTCGGCCTCGTCGAGAACGAACATCTTCATGCTGTCGGTCTTGAGGAAACGACGCTGGATCATGTCGTGGACACGGCCGGGGGTACCGACGACGACCTGAGGGCCGTCCTGGAGGGCCTTCATGTCGTCGCGGACAGAGGTGCCGCCAATGCAGGCGTGGCACTCAATGTTCATAAAGTCACCGATGGCGATGACGACCTTCTGGATCTGCTGGGCCAGCTCACGGGTGGGAGCAAGGATAAGGGCCTGGCACTGCTTGACGGCGGGGTCGATCTTCTGCAGGACAGAGATGGAGAAGGTGGCGGTCTTGCCAGTACCGGACTGGGCCTGGGCAATGACATCGTTACCTGCACATTGTGTGAGCGGGAGGTGAAAGGGGGAGGAGGGATTAGAGTCGGTGGTTTTACGTACCCTTGACGACGGGCATGATGGCACGGGCCTGGATGGCGGAGGGACGCTCGAAACCCTGGACACCGCCTATCAGTATGCGACATATTGTGGGAGGACGGAATTTCGCCGACGAGGCGACGAGGTCAAGAAAAACTTACGTAGGCGTAGACACCACGGAGAAGCTCCGACTTCAGTTCCATGTCGTCGAACGACTCGCAAACCTCGGTCCAGTTGGACTCGATGGTCGCTGTAGTAAGGCTGGTCAGCAACGGGTCGCTGAGGGGTAGCAGCAGGTGGGTGGGCGGTGCGTCGCCTGGCGTCGCGGTCCCATGCGGCGAGCGCGATGCGATGCGACACAGTCCGGTGTAGTTGCAAGGGCGGAAAAGAGGTTGTCGCGATCACTCACCCTCGTTGATCTCCTCCAGTCCCTGGGAGTCAGCCATGATTGCGGTTTGGTGTTGCGATTGTTGGTCGGCGGGCAAATGCGGCTTGTCGTAATCACACGGGAGACTCGTAGAGTATACCGTGGAAAATCGTCAAAGAGAGTCTAGATATTTAATCTGAGACTCGTCTAGGTGCTCTTGATAAAAATCAAAGAGCAGGGGGGAATGTCAAGTTGTTGGTGTTGAGGTGGATAAGTGATCTGGGTGGTCGTGGTGTGGCGGCACGGGAGAAAGAGAAGAGTCGTTAATTTTTTTTTCTTTGCTAGTCACGTGGTTGGCCAGCGATAGGAGAAAGAGGAGGGGCAGGGGCGATCCCACGGTTTTAAGCGATGTTGAGCCGTGCCACGCCTGTCTTCCGACGCAGCACTGACCTCACAGCCTGCCCCTGCCCCCACCTCACTTGACTGCCATCAGCCCATTCAACACAGCGGCGACATCCTAGTCCAGCCAGATGCCTGTCAGTGGAGGGGAGTCCCAAAGATGGATTTTTCCCTACTATTTTGGCCTCAGTCAACATTCCCTTCAGACTTCGAACACTTGATCGCGAGGCGAAACTCTGACCAACGAGTCATCCTGGGGTTACATGGTGGTCAAGCCCTGATCCTTTCTTTTTTTTTTGTTACCCCTCCTCCTTTGTATAGTGTCTTAGCTTTCTGCCGAGTCCCCCACGTCTACCTACAGACCAGGGCCCCAACCTGGCTGCCCCTCCACCACACGCACTGATCGCTGTATACACATGACGGCCAACGACATCTCTCGGCCGAATGGCCTTGGGCCTAACAATGGCACGTCACACGTCAGTGAGGCCAAACGTGAGCATGCGCACACCGAAGATGCTATGACACCGACGACGCATGAGTCAATCTCAAGCCTTCCCACCCACCCTTTAGGGGTGAAGCCTCTCGGCAACCAATTTCTCCATGAAGGTCCAAACGCACGCCCTTCTGCTGGTGCTTTTCGGTCATTCTCCGACGAGACACTCATGTTGTTTCTGGAGTATCTTGACCAGCATTCACTGAGGCGCTTGGGCTACACTTGCCGATTCCTTTACGCCTTTTGTTCGTCTGCTGAGTTGTGGAAACCCCTTTTCCTTGAGTGAGTCTTCTTCCTCCTCCAACACAAGGCTGCTGGTGCCCGGAATGAGGCCAATCATGGCACTCAGTCATCCTGTATGACTGAGTCACAGTCGCGGTGTTTTGTGGCCGGGGACCGACAGGGTTGCAAAGGCTAAAACTAACTGTTCCCAGGCACCATACGACAGGTCGATTTGGCGGAAAGTGGCAGGGCTCTTGGAGGGCAACACTGCTCGGGCTGGCAGTTGACCAGGAATCCAAGATTGACTGTAGCAATGTTTTCTCCGATGTCCTGCACAGGCCATTTGTCTGCAGCCATCTGGACTTGTCCAGGTTTGCCACCAAGATCCCCCGTGGTAACCAAATCACCAAGCTTGACAATCTGTCATATGATGAGTTCGCAGCCTCATGGACTGAAAAGCCCTTTGTGTTGACGAAATGCATTCAGGATTGGCCAGTCTTCCAAACCTGGACCATTGAGACGATTTTGAAGCAATACGGTGACGTAGAGTTTCGTGCCGAGGCTGTTGACTGGCCCTTCTCGACATACCACGACTATATGAAAAACACAACTGACGAAAGCCCTCTCTATCTTTTCGACAAGAAGTTCGCCGAGAAGATGCACATCAAAGTGGGCCGCGAAGAGGGCGCAGCATACTGGAAGCCAGAGTGCTTCGGTCCTGATCTCTTTGAGCTTCTTGGAGACGAGCGGCCAGCGCACCGATGGCTGATCATTGGCCCCGAACGCAGTGGCTCAACCTTCCACAAAGACCCCAACGCAACGAGCGCCTGGAACGCAGTTCTGCAGGGTTCCAAATACTGGATCATGTTCCCGCCCTCCGTGTCGGTGCCCGGCGTTTTCGTTTCCAGGGACGCGAGCGAGGTGACGAGCCCCATCAGCATAGCCGAGTGGCTGGAGACATTCCATGACGAGGCACGGCAGCTGCCTGAGTGCATCGAGGGCGTCTGCCATGCAGGAGAAATCCTGCACGTCCCCAGCGGATGGTGGCATCTCGTGGTCAACCTGGAGAGCGGTATTGCGCTGACTCAGAACTTTGTACCCAAATCGCCTTCGCTCCACCACCTCTCCGAAGCGTTGTCGTTTCTCCGAGACAAGGCGGAGCAGGTGACTGGTTTCGAGCGCGATGTGACGGACCCCTACGGGCTGTTTGTGGAGCGGCTGCAAGCAACATACCCCGAGGCACTCGAGGAGGCGCTGCGCATCTTGGATAGTAAGGCGGCGCATAAGAAACGGAAATGGGAGGAGGCAGTCGGCGCAGGGCCGGCGGAAGCTGAGGGTGGAGGGTTCAGCTTCGGGTTCGGCGGCGATGACGATGACGAGATACCCTGAATGGATGCATCTTCGGCGGGTGCTTTTGGTCATTCACGGCACATATGGACATGCGTTTGTGGTATGAGGCTTTGGTCACTAGCCCACGGCCATCAACACACATTGCGGGCATTCTCTGAGCGATCAGGCGATTTGGTTTCGGCATAGGTTAGATAAAAAGACAATGTAGACTGAGCTTCGGGACACAGATGACCTGGCATGAACCATTAGGAGAGTCTCTCATCAACATCACAAGGCTTCGGCATTCGAACTATTATGCGTTCTGTGCTGATGTTGGCGTATATAGTCATGGTCATGTATGTCCGAGACCGTGCCTATGATTTGATGGACATGATCATATCCAAGCTTTTCTTGCTGAGATAACGAGGACACTACAGGCATGTATACAGACATCTGAGTCCGTACGATGCTTTTCACTAACATCTCTGACGAGTGCCTACCTCTGGGCAACGTCACCAGCGAGGTCAGTGTGTCACATCAATACTGCTCCGAAAGACGTCTCAAATGCGAACCTAACCGAGTCGAACGTCATAAGTCTTATATTACATAAATACCTTGTAACACGATATTGGCCATAGACTCTCACCATCGGCTTGAATCATAATAGTCTAGGTAGCAAGACAGACATACAGGTGTGCCTATCTGTGCAAGGCCTGTCTTCTCGAGTATAGATCCCGTGTGAGCATTGCTATGACCACGAGGAAACCAAAGCTCCTAGCCTTGCAGTCTCTGTTCACGATTGACTGATATTTCTGTACCACAAAAGGAAGACGAGGTCGTTGTAGAGAGGCAAGGCCAATAAGACGTGGGAGAAGATGGCAGCAAGTCATTCACTGAAGTTATTATAAGAGGACAACCGAGGTGGCGGGCCGGTGCAGGAGATCGTTGTTGCTTTGTGGCCGAGGGCATTTCTATTGACAGATTGTTTTCGATAGCCAACAAAAGACTTCTACTGGCCTCGTGCTCAAGCATGGGACTGCAGCCCCATCCGTGTTCATACTGCTTTGATATGCGTTCAACATCATAACCTTAGTGGGAAGCTCTGAGGCTGGAAGCTACCTCTAGGGCGTGTACTAACCTCAGGTAGGCGGGTACATGTAGCTCATGCGGGGAGCAGCTCACCGTTTTCCTACCAGGCACAGGCACCGTCAGGGACATACGTGGAGACCTCCCAGACGATGCATGCAATCTAGGTACCTTAAAGCAGGTATGAGCAGAAGATCGGATACCACGAAGCATAATATTTGTTTCGGAGACACAGGCAGGCGCCAGCCATCGAAGGCGCCCTCCATCTAGAACTCAGCCAGCTTGCTCTACGTGTAGGTAGGTACCTGGAACCTTGGCGGCCTGTCCCTGCCTCAGCTCTTCTGCGACACGGCTTGACGGCCTCGCGGCGACCCCTGCCTCGCCGCTTCAATGCACAAGCGCCCAGCCAACCAGGCCATGCGCCCACCACCCACGACGAAGCTCATCACGTCACGGTGTCCAGTTCAGTGCTGTAGCACCTCAGTTGAGGTGAAGGGAAGAAGCCGACAAGACAATGGAACAGACGGAGCGGACGGGCTTCCACCCACCTGTCCGGCCACCTCATGTGACAGGTCGCGTCCAATCTGGGCTTCTCACTCGCCGACCCATCTCAGACAGACTTCACGCTCTTGCATCAAATCTCCATGAGTTCTCGTCAATCTCCGACCGACTAAAGGCAAATCCTGACATCCACTGCATCTTTTATGCTGCCCGCTCCCATGCCTCCTACTATGTAACAAAAGAGCCTGAGCCTCGACAAATAGTCCCCCCCCAAACCATCGACCGTCTGAGGTCCCCACTCAGGTGGCCCAGTCCCCTCTTTTCATCCAAGGTGAGAGCTTCCCACTAGCCTCCCCCTCCCTTCCCGCTGTCGCCCCAGGCCCAACCGTCTGTCCATGCGCTGCACCCACCATCAATCAATCTACGTCGCCTCGTCGACTCACCACTCCATCCACTTACTTTCCATTTACACTTGTTCCTCTCTCCTGTTTCTGTCTCTGTCTCGACCCCCCCAAGACAAACATCACGTACCGCGGACACGACGCGTCCCTCCGGCAATGTACGGCTCATAGGTTCCCACACGCTGCAGGAGCTGACGTAGGATGTCTTGTCCATGCTGCTGCTCTTGCTAACACTGCTTCTCGAACCATAGCCTTTCCTTGTTCCTTTTCCAAAGCACCACCTCCATCACTCACCTGCAACCCTCTAGAGGCTGCATATCGGACGGACCCCCCCCTTACCTACCCACCTACCTAGGTACCTACAGTACTACCTACCCACCTGAACCCGAGAGAGATACGCAACGTCCTGTCCCCACTTCGAATCGGAGCTACTGCTGGATCAACAACAGCACGCCTACTCGCTCTTCCCCCTTCCCTGCCTGTCATTCTCATATCGCCAGTCTCTCAACCTCGAAATCCCGTTGCTCCGACC